TATATATATATAAACGGCATTGAATAGCCGGCCCAATTATAAGTTTACCTCTATCGATGTTCAGTTGCTTAGGCTTGTAATTTTGAACCCAATCTATAAGGCAAGGTTACTCCTAGATCAAACATTGGGGCAAAGTGGCTTTCGTCGAGAATTTTTTGATGGAAAACTACGTTAACCTCCCACGGTTAGCCCAACAGCAGGAGAATTTTAATCCATGATCCGTGGATATTTTACGTTAGCAGTGTGATGCGAGCCTGGAGTCGGCGAATCTTATTATTTAGCCTATTTTAATTATTTACTCATTTTGTACCATTTTAAACATGCAGGTTCGAAGCATTTTTGAAATTTTGGTACAATTAATTATTTTTTATTATTTTATTTTCTAAAAACTGGCTTCAATTCGTTTGCTATTTTGCTTTTAAAATCACTGCACTGCAATTTGTGCACCTGTCCCTTCAATAAAAGCTTTCTCCTGTTTTCCAACATTTACTCGTTTTAGAACAACAGTAGTATTAGGCTCGATACTACGAGATAAAATAGTAAAAGACTTCTGCCAGATAGAACGTTTTGTGGAATTGTTCGAGACGTGACTTTTGAGGCAAGGGGGGCAGACTAAAAAGGGGTGTATTTGAGAACGAAACTGATGGTGATAATTATTATTCCTCCCCCTTTCCCAAATGCACCACAACTTGTTTGTTTGTGATCCCTGGCATCTGGGCATCACAGGGACTTCAGACATACAAACGGACTAACTCTCTCCCGAAAATTCACCCGTTCCTCCAAATTTTCTGGAAAACAACAACTTTTCGGCGCGGTGCCGCATTTAATTAGTTCTTATCGGGTAGGGTCCCAGTAATTGCAATTGTTCGAGGATTTTGGCGAGAAATGAGATTGGTTTAGGTAGAAGAGGGGGAGGGTGTTGCGCGACTTTTAATATGACATAGGGGAGAGAGAACCGACTGCAGATATGGAAGTTTTCGAAAAGAGGCTTTCGAAGCATTGGATTTTTGTTTTTGGCGAGACCCAATTGATAAGGATTTCTCTCTCTCTGCCTATGCATTTAAAGCCGTGTTCAGAATTAATGAGGAAGGATTCTTCTATTTTTGTAATTTTGTGATCGCAGAGAGAAGATTTGATAATGTTCGTGTTGGTTCAGTTTTGAGTTTTTATTCCTTTTTAGAAAAATTGTTGACCTGCTCTATTTCAATGCAGTGAGTGAGTTGTCTGGTTTGAAATTACTCTCAACCTTGTTTGGAGTTGAGAAATTGGAAATGTCTGTTGATATCGATAGTTCAGGATTTATTTCATTAAGTGGTTGTGCATATTCAGCAAATATTTGTGAAATGTTTTTATTTTCCTGTGATTTAATCAAATTAGAAATAATTTGTTCGTTTTAAATGACAGCTGTGTTAAAATGTATAGTTGTAGCGAAAACAATGTTATTTTATTATCAAAATACATAGTTGCAGCTGCCAAAATAATTTGCTCCTAAAGTAATTATAGCTTGCTCAAATCGCAGTAATGACTGAATAACCGTATATAAATATTTTATTCTATTGCAACTTCCTATATTATCCTATTCCAAAAGCAGCAAATAATCGAAATGTAAATTCTTTTTAAAAAGTTTATTCCTGTAAAACTACAAATTCTGGAACTTATTTGAAGATAAAACTGCTACATTAGAAAAAGTTTAATGCACAGAATAGGTATGGGTAAATTGATGTTAAGGTATATTAATTAACCTCCACTGATTTATCTATGAATCCCAACTCAAGATGATGTTTTTTATTATTCAAATTAAGTGCGGAAATCAATAAAAAGCAATTTTTTTCAAGCTACCACATGACCTCTTTTGAAAGTGTACATTTTAATTAAAAAATAACTATTCGTAATTTAGTTTTGCTCTTGTAACTTAATATTTAACCCTTAAAACGTAACTTTATTTTTACTTTTCATTCATAGTTGTAATGTAAATTCTTCTTATTATCAAATGTGCTAATTTTGACTTGAGAACCATAATAAATTTACTAAGTTGTCTAAAAAGTTCTGTAACACTTGCAAGAATTTCAACTTTTATGAATTTCATTTTGTGTTTTTTTTTTTTTTTTTTTTTTTTTTTTTGGTGTTCTTAGTTGAAATTTTCATCTATAAGCTCTAAATGACTTTTGATTCATTATTGCTACAAACGAGATCTTTCATCAAGGGACGTTGCAAGGGTGTTGAAGAACGTTTTGAGTTTATCTTCTTTAGATTCTATAACCATCGGAACCCGCATTTGCGTTACATGGCGAAGAAAACTACGAAAACCTCCCACAGTAGAGCTAACGGCAAGAAGACTCTAATCCATGATCCGTCTACCACTGAGGATATTTTACGTCAGTCCGCACTGTGGTCGATGCGAGAATTTTTATCAGCCAGCCGTCACTGAGATTCGAACCCGGGTTGCCTCATTGGGAGGAGAACGCTCTATCCCCTGAGTCGCCACAGCTCATTCTTTAGATTATAAAGATGCTTTGTTTTACTTAACACAATTATTTTTAAAATTGTTTCTCGATTTTTGTACTTTTGCCAATCACTACATACGTTTATTATTTTGCTTAAAAGCTGCTTCAAATATTGCTTTTAGGGTGAAATAACCGTAATTGAATATTTTAATGTATTCTTTCACGAGCCATAGTTTTTAATTACCCAAATAGTCTTCATTTTTTTTATTCTTCTTTGGCGAAGATAAGTACATTTCACACATACGCCATACAGATCATGTATGCGCCATGATGAACTTAGAAAGGAAAGAAAGGTTTAATTTTTTATGCGGCTAATTATTACAAGTAGTTTTATATTTTTANTGTGTTTTCTAGTTCTCAACTTTTGGCGACGTAATATATATATATATTAAAATGTAATTTAAACGTTACATTTTCAGTAGGGAAAATAAGAACATTAGAGACTTAGAAAAATAAGAATCAGGATTCTTCCTTTTCAATTTAACTATCGAAAACTTATATGATCTATTTACTATAATTTATTTTTGGTTTACAGTTAAAATATATTCATTTCATTAAATATAAAACATTAGTTGCTACTACTATTATAAATAAAAAATATATAAATGGAAAAGAAAATACGTAG